GCCAAAGTTTCCCTCATGCTGGCTCAGGAATTCTGGGAGTTGAAGTCCACGCGTCATAAAAGAGCCAAGGTGGCCTACCCCTGCCCTAGAGGCAAAGTCTGGGGAACTGAGTCGGACTTTGCACTCGGCTTCTTCAAACCTGGCAAAATGGGTGACAGTCCAAGGACTAGTGGCAGCCCCATCGTGGATAGTACTTCTGCTTCTGTCTTCTCTGTTGCCTTCTGCAGAAGCAAAAGGTGGGAAGAGGCCAGATTTGTTGAGAGCATTTTGTGTACTACAGCCTCAGTGACCTTCAAGGAAGACAAACTGGACTTTCATTTATGACATCCACCAAGGGTTGTGAGGTTGCTTCTGCAAACTGTCTACAGGCCTCACGTGCACAACTCTTGAATCTCGGGTTTCTCCTCTCTCTGGCTTTAGCCCAGGGAAAAATGGGCTGCACCGCATGGCGTCTTGTAATGGCTTCACCTTGCGTGTTATTTAACTTTTTTTTCCTCCAGGAACATAATGGGATGACTTTTGTTTGTCCTCCTTCCTGAACGGCTTTGGGAAAAATGGTGGTGTTAGATCAGTACCCTGGGACCTGGTTGTGGGATTCTCAGCCAACCTTCTGGTTCCATAAGATTTTTTCTTTGCGTACAGCAACAGCTGCTGAAATGTTGGATCTTAAATAATTACATCGAGGGCAATAGAAGAAGGGGACGACAGACGACAGAGAATGAGGTGGCTGGATGGAGTCACTGAAGCAGTAGGCATGAGCTTAAATGGACTCCAGAAGATGGTAGAGGACATGGGGTCTCGATGGGTCGGACACGATTTCGCAACTAACAAACAAATAAATAATCAGGGGAATCAGCTACAATTGGAGGGCAGCTGCTCTGGAGCAAGTGGAGGCAAAGAGAAAGTCCAGCTTGATTCCTAGTGACTTCCTGGCACATCCACACCTTTGTCTTGGCAACCTTACAGGCATTTACTCCTTCTTCCTTCTGGGATTTCCCATTCAAACACTGGCCAGACCTGAACTTCCAAATCCGAAAATGCCAGCCAGCTGCTGTCTCCTGCAGAGACAAGACCCAAAGGTTTCCATTAAATTAATCCTTTCCTCTTATTTCGCCCAATACGTAGCATCCTCACTCCATCCTTGAGTGATTATTTGTCACCTTTATTTGCTTCCAATAAAATTGAGTCATGACAGTTGTGACATGTCCAAATATATATATAAAAACCCACCATATACAATACAGTCAATTTCCGAGGAGGGCAACAGGGGCAGAATAATGAAAAATCACCGCAGGTGTGCAACACAACCTCCTCTTTTGTATGTGTGCCATGACATCACATACGAATACGAGAAGAAACATCCCTTTTGACTTTCTGACAAAAGCAGTAAGTTCCTGCAGATATCCCCGTAGTCAGCTGTCAAATACCATGAAGCACCAGCTTTTATTGCTGACAGATCTGAAGTCCTGTTGTAAAATAGGCACTCTTGATTCATGCATTGAATTAAATTATAACATTATTTGTTTGGTTTTCATTTGGTATCAGAGGTAATTTGTAAACCATAATACGTGCATGAATGTGTTGTGTGAACCAAGCCAGTTTTAATTTGTTCTGCAAACCAGTCTAAAGAAACTATGAGATCTCATAGTTTCAAATATCCTGAAGATGTCTACTAAATGTTTTGATCTCAGTATTTACAAACAATAACAACAACAACAACAGAATTTGAAGGACCCTGGGGGTCTTCTAATCCAACCTCCTGCTCAGGCAGGAAACCCTATACCATTTCAGACAAATGGCTGTCCAGTCTTTTCTTAAAAACTTCCAGTGTTGGAGCATTCACCGCTTCTGGAGGCAGGTTGTTCCACTGGTTAATTGTTCTAACTGTCAGGAACTTTCTCCTTAGTTCTAGGTTGCTTCTCTCCTTGATTAGTTTCCATCCGTTGCTTCTTGTCCTGCCTTCAGGCACTTTGGAGAATAGCTTCACTTCCTCTTCTCTGTGGCAGCCCCTTAAATATTGGAGCATTGCTTTCATCTGCTATCAAAGCAGAGAAAAATGGTTCCAGTTACAGTTATAAGAACAAAGAAGTGAAAGTAAAGAAAGAAGTAGAGTTGCTTGATCAGTGATTTTTCATACTAAAAATGGGAAATTGCTCTGGATGTGTGGCTTATATGTGCATGGAGATTCTGACATGTGTACAGTATATAGGATAGTCCGAGGCACGAGACCTGCCAATCTTGCTTGCTATCCAGGCTGGGGATATTTGCTTGGAAAGTCCATCTTCTGTCTTAAATTTCAGCAGGGAAAGGAAGCACCATGTGGTGCCTTTTTGCCTTTCACATGGGGCAGGTGGTTTCATTGGAAAAAAATAAAATAACTGGGCACCAGTATTTCGCAACATATGGCAAATATAGACAGCATACTAAAAGGCAGAGACATCATCACCCTGCCAACAAAAGTACGTATAGTCAAGGCCATGGTTTTCCCAGTTGCAATGTATGGCTGTGAAAGTTGGACCATAAGAAAGGCTGAGTGCCAAAGAATTGAGGCCTTTGAACTCTGGTGCCGGAGAAGACTCCTGCGAGTCCCCTGGACTGCAAGGCGATCAAACCGGTCAGTCCTAGAGGAGATCAACCCCGACTGCTCCTTAGAAGGCCAGATCCTGAAGTTGAAACTCAAGTACTTTGGCCACCTAATGAGAAGGAAGGACTCACTGGAGAAGAGCCTAATGCTGGGAAAGATCGAGGGCAATAGAAGAAGAAGGGGACGACAGAGAATGAGGTGGCTGGATGGAGTCACTGAAGCAGTAGGCATGAGCTTCAATGGACTCCAGAAGATGGTAGAGGACAGGAAGGCCTGGAGGAACATTGTCCATAAGGTCGCGATGGGTCGGACATGACTTTGCAACTAACAACAACAGCAAAAATATTTCCACTTCCAAGATATGCTCTTACTAACCCCCAAAGACAAAAGAACATGTTAGTACTGTATGAAGAATTACTTCTAAATTAGCAAATTCATCTGATATGAAGTTGGATAATGCATTTATTTGGTTTTAGAAGGATGATTGAACCATGATATTATGCTTTATAAATTTTGGTTTATATTCCTAAGCATTGCCATGGTCCCACAAACTATGGTTTTATTGTGAAAAGTCGAGTCTTGTTGGTTTATACTTTTCCACCTCCTTCCTTTTACTTCTGCTTCTGTTTGAATAACCATAGTTTGTTGTTTTAGATGCAGTCAACAAACTGTCAGCTACACTGGTTGCCCGTGTGCTTCCATGTTGAATTTAAGGTCCTGGTGGTCTCACCCCTTCATGGCATGGGGCCAGATCATTTACAAGACTGCCTTTCTCTGAGTGCGCCTTCCCATCCCATCAGATTGGGCAGGAGAGGCATGTTCTGGGTTCCATTTGGAGAGATGAGATTGGCCCTGTCTCTGTTGGACCTTCTCAAGGCCCTAAGACAGTGATGGCGAACCTTTTAGAGACCGAGTGCCCAAAAACTGGCCCTGCCCCCACTCCACCCCCTGCCCGCCCCTGCTCTGCCCCCCATCCCCCACCCCCCCCACCCACAGGACCACTCACCGCCTCCAGGGCCCGCCGCAGATCGCCCAGGCAGCCCAGCAGCACTATGGCAATGACACCCTCTGCCTGCGCCCTGCAGCATCAACTGCATGATGGTGCATGAGGGCAGAGTCTTGTCTACGCTGCCTGGCTGCCATGTCCTTGGCTGCGCTGCTCCGTGTGGGCCACGCTCGAGGGCGAGTCTCCTTCAGGGGGGCTGCTGGAGAGGAGGGGGTTGCGGGGGGAGGCAAGGCTGGGGCAACGGCAAGTGTGCCCACAGAGAGGGCTCAGAGTGCCACCTCTGGCACCTGTGCCAGAGGTTCACCACCACTGCCCTAAGATGTGGCTGTTTCCTCCCTGTGGGAATCGGACTGCCTGTGAAATGGTTGTATTGTTTTTATCTTGATGGCCGATTGTGTGTTCAGTTTGTATTTTTTGCTAAATAAAACAATCTTAGCATGTTTTGAAACCGTTCAGCTTCCAACTTTAGGAAAAAGTTCCACCATCACAATTTAGGATTGAGCTGTCACTGTGGGAGCAAAAAAAATAAATTTAAACTCTCTTGGTCTTTATTGTATCTGCAGAAACCTGGGGTTTTCCGTGTCTTCTGTCAGCATCAGTCATGGTGGATTGTGGTTTTCCCTGTCACAAATGGTTTTGACAAATCAGAGATAGAATTAATGTTGTAATCCATTATTATTGAAGTAATAAATACCTTCAAGTTTATTTCCCATTCTTGAATGAAATAGTCTTAGGCTGCCATTTTTTAATTCCGCTGCAACTGGATACTCCACAGGCCAATGTGTTGTTTTCTATTCATTCTATTCTTTCTATTCTATTTTCTCTTTGTCTCTCTCTCTCTCTCTCTTTCATACCTGCACACCTGCCAATGCCACTAATTCTTCAGGCAACTGAGAAGGCAGACTCCAGTCCATCCAATTCATCCATGATGTTGTTTCCCCAGGTTTAAAATGCTCCTGCCCCCCTCTCTTTTTGACAGCACGCAGGCTGGGTAAATGTCAGTCCCTGGTTGTGTTGCTTCTGGAAAACTAACACATTCTGCATCCTTTCCTGGAGAACGGCTGGTCAACAGCATCCCGGAAGCTCATTTCAGGAGTGACCCCTGCCCGCTGGGCCTTGTTACCCACTGATTTGGAGGCTATTTTTGGTCCTCTTCATCCCAGGCTTACGCAGCCCGGAAAGGGCTCAAGATTACAATGCAGGGAGGCATCTCCAGGATGCCTCTTGGTGCTCCTAGCCAGACCCCCCTTGACTTGCCTTCCCATTCTTTAGAAATAGTTGGAGAAGTAGCCTATGAGGCCCCGCTGGCTGGCTTTGTTGCTTTCTGCTTGGCAGCTATTTTTGGCTGATAAGCCGCCCGTGTGCAAAGTGTTAACTAATGGGATCATCATGTTTCACATTTGACCACAGAAAATGGCAGTGGAAGAAGGAGAGGGCTTCGTGGACCAAGTAAGCGTGTGCAGATGCTGTCATAAGCTTGGCTTTTAAGGTTTATTTCTCTGTACTTGTGTGGCGGTAACGAGTTATTGCTATTATTGTTGTGGTGGTTCTCATTCTTGGCAGAAAGGGGATTCTTCCTGGTTTGCAGGTAAATGTGGGCGTAGGTCTGTTTGCTTCATTTTTTGGAGTGTTTTGTTTTCCAAGGGTTACCTCTAAAGCAAGTCAGTCAAGGTTTAGTTTTCTCTTCTCTGTTTCCCCACTCTCCAAAATGTTGCAATGGGGCAGTCTGTTTACTGCATAGAAGATGCTTGGAAGAAATGTAAAGGGATATGTTTGTGTCAAAGAAAAGGCCGAAAATACCTCTGATGCACATCCTATTTTTCTTGTGTAGCTTTTCTTGAGAGAGCTCGGAAGAATTTAAATCTATAAAACAATTGTGCCCGATTTAACTGGGAATGCACATTGTTATTAATAAGACGCTAGAGCTGCTGAAGTTAAAGTTATAAAATCTGCCAAATTTGAGAGTCCTGGATGACCTTCTAGGATTAAACTTGGGTGAAAAAAGGATTCTTGGTCCAATTCTTCAAATGATCCTTAGAGCATGAATCTCTCTAAACTGTATAATAACCTACTTTGGCAATGAGTGAGAAGGTTGGGGAACATTAAGTATTATCCCTTTGCTGCAGCCTGACTGTCAAGACTCAATCATCCTGAGTGAAGTTTGTTATCCACTGGTATTACTGATATGAGGATAAGGACTTTTCAAAGTGCTTATAGAAGAAACGATGGTTTCCTTGGGTGATAAAAAATATTTCAGAACGAATGCAACTGTACTTTCTTATGCAACTTCATGGCAATTGCAGCAAAACATCCAGTATTAATAACCGGGTAGAATAAATGCTGATTTTACGACTAGCGTTATGATATTCACGCATCTTAACATACATGTGTGCATGCATGTGCTCGGTGGATCTGTTCTAAGGATGGCAGGTGGTGATGGCTCTATAGCTCTTTCCCAGATGTTCCATGCAGATGTGTTATTAGTGGTAGGGAGTTCCCCTGATGAAATGGTGGGGGTTGGTCTGCAGGAACAGTGTTGGTATATTCAAGAAAAAAAAAGAAATGCTTAAGGAACTGGTTTAAAAAAAGAGGTCGTGGCGATGTTAAGTTAAGCTTGACTCCCAGGGATTGTGTGAACCGAGACATTTTAAAGATAGAAGAGTATCTTACAAGGCGTTCCTAATCTTTTTTTGCAAGCTAAAGGAGAGACCACTAGGGGCAGCCTGTTAGTCATTTATGGCAGGGGTCCCCAACAAACCCCGGTCCGTGGACCAGTACTGGGCCGCGGCATGCCAGCAATCGGTCCGCACAGACAAGGAAAGCCCCATCTGCGGGATGTAGGCAGCGCACAAAACCACGCCCCCTCCAGTCCGTGGAAAAACCTCTCTCCATGTAACCGGTCCCTGGTGCCCCAAAGGTTGGGGATCTCTGATTTAGAGCATTTACAGTATTTCTCTGCAGAGCTTTTTATGCCACCTACTGGTGGGACTCCAAAGTTTCTGTGTCTCTTTGTTGCCACCTAGTGGTCATCTTGCTAAGACCCCTAATCCAGAAGCCAGAAGAGGTCTTGGAGGCACGTCCATGAGTAGAAGGAGTGGACTTTGACAAGAAAAAAAGGCTTGGACTTTTGCTCATAAGCAGACTGAAACATCTTGCTATTTTTTTCCTTTCTGCCTAAAAACAGAATACTGATGAAATGGAAGGAGGGTATTGTCTTTAAAGTGAAATACTACCAGAATATCTTTCTTTCTTTCTTTCTTTCTTTCTTTCTTTCTTTCTTTCTTTCTTTCTTTCTTTCTTTCTTTCTTTCTTTCTTTCTTTCTTTCTTTCCTCCTTCCTTTCTTCTTTCTTTCTTTCTTTCTTTCTTTCTTTCTTTTCTTTTCTTTCTTTCTTTCTTTCTTTCCTCCTTCCTTCCTTCCTTCCTTCCTTTCTTCCTTTCTTTCTTTCTTTCTTTCTTTCTTTCTTTCTCCTAGCTAGCACTGCTTGTATTGGCTCTTAACGTACTGGCTTAAGAGTCTGTTTCTTATTTATCAGCGTTTGCCGAGTCCTTAGCTGTATAGAAATGCCGAGCATGCAGAAGAAAAGTGAAGCTGAACCTTAGAAGGCCTTCTTCTGCCTTTCCACCCAAAAACATCCCGATTTGAGGCCAGCTTGCTTGGGAAAGATTTCCTGGTGGACCGGATTTCTGGCCTTCCGCATGCTGAAGCTGGGGTGTCAGGCTGCCCGGCCTGTCTGCCTGCCCCCAGTGGAATGTGTACAGAAGGGCTGGGTTGAGGCTGACATGGTCCTGCCCTAGACAGAGCCTCTGAGAGTGCATTGACCTGCTCCCTCTTCATGGGCAATACTGCTGCTCTGGCATTTTACTAGCGACTCAGCAAACGCTGCATTCTCTCCCCCAGTGCACGGAGACATGGCGTGCACAGAGGACACCACGGACAACATAAACTGAAGCATGGCGAGGAGTGAATCGACAGGGGTACGGTACTTCTTTGCTTCTAGCAGTGAGTTGTGGTGAATAAGCATTGTAGATTTACGTTATGTAAGCTTCAAGTCCGCTAAAAGGTGCTGAAGGGAAGCCGTACCTAATCCATAGATTAAGGACTTCCGCTTGGTAGCCCTTCGGAAAGGTGTTCCGGAGAAAATCCTTAATAGGGTGCGCAGCACACATTGTTGTAGACGTACCAGAGATTTATGATGAGCAGGATGCTCTGTGGATTGGGGTAGTTGTCAGATCAATTATAGACTACAATCAATAATTATATTGCTGGGAGATTCGCGGAGATTAATAATTGAGATCAGAAGTGTTTGGGAAGCAGTGTTTTAAAAGATAAAGAACGTTGTGTGATGATTCACCTAGACCCAAAATTTATCTGTCTATCGGATTTTTTTCCCACCATCTAAAAAAATGACAAAGCATTTAGGAGTGGAAGAAAGAAAATGCATTTCCAGAATGGGTAGAACTTGCTGTTACAAATACATCTTTTCCTGTAAAACCGAATCATACTCCCTTGCTCATTAACTGTGATTTTTCCTCCTGCGTGCCAAGTGGAATGCAGTTGGTCCTCTTCTTTAAAATACCGAGAAAGCACATGGCTAGCTTACCATGTACCATTCTGGAATGCTAAAATTAAGCTACTGTGATGACAGACATAAAGCATTGCTAAGTATCCCCAATCCGCGTGGATAAAGAGGTTGCCTGTTTAAATTAAAGTGGAAAATTCAGAAGGAATCTTGAGTAACATGCCTACCACTCATCCCTTGCATACTATTGAAACTCCTTCTTAGCCTGTAAAAAAAAAAGGGAGTGCATGACCTTTGACCATATTAAAGCCACAAACACCCCCCCTACACACACACATACACACTTTTTGTGGCCCTGGGAGCTCTTCAGCCGCCCTCCCCCAGTTAAGCAAAATACAAAATAACTGTGATTGAGTTTTCTGGCATTATAAGGGTTCTTTTATTGGTTTCAAGTATTTGTTGTTGTTATTGTTGTTGTGTGTGTATGTGAGGGTGTGCCTTCAAATCAATTTAGAATCTTGGCAATTGCCTGGCAAGTCTCTGAAAGTTTCTTGGTAGCATTTTTGGAAGGGTTTTGTTCGGGCCTTCTTTGAACTCTCAAACTTCCTCCTTCTGTTATATATTCAAGATGGACAATATTTAATATTTATTTGTTATGTATATGTAGGGGTGTGGGTCTATACATACGTTGTATATAGTATGTTTAGGTGTGTGTCATGTATGTGTTTCACTTCGAGAGCAGGCAACTAAATTTCATTTTTGATATGTGCCGTTGTGCCCGCAGTAAAAAAAAAATGACAATAAAGGCTATCTTATCTTATCTTTGTGGGGCGAAGAGAGAGGGGTTGACCCAAAGTCGCCCAGCTGCTTATGTCCCTAAGGTGGGACTAGAACTCACAGTCTCCCAGTTTGGTGCCTTTATCACCACTCTTTCAAGGCTTAAATGAGGCTTCAGCCATTCAAATAACTCTATAACTTACCTTCAAGAACTCTGCTTCTTGAAGGTGGAACAAATTCAGATAATACAGCCTTATGTGGCATGGAAAAGCATAAAACCCAGTATAATATGGAAAACTTGCCCATAGGATGACCGTTTGGCACTATTACATCCATGCAACTGCTTGATAAATGAGTTGTTTGTATTGACTTAATGTCCTACCTAAGTCTGCATTGACATACTTAAAAAGCTTACAACTTGCCCCCAAACTAGCAGAGTCAATGTTTGGTTGAGGAAACTTTGTCCCTAAGAGTTTTCAGGAGAGGCCATGTAATAAGATGCACATTGTGAAATTGTGTCACCAACCCTACCACTTATTTGTCTGTTGATGTTGAGGCTGAGATGTTGTGACACAAGCACAGTGGGGTAGCGCTTCCATCACAACAATAGGTTTTGTTATTTCAGTGTCACTGTGGCTAGAAACAGCTTTGTTGAGTCAACTTACAGTTGGGCTGCTGTAACACACTTTAAACTGTCCTTGAAGACCCCTTGGAAGCGATAGCTGGTCCAGAATGTGGTGGTATGGATAATGTTGGCATGCCTTGTTACCCCCAAGTGACCCCACTGCATTGCTTCCAATTTGTCTAGCAAGATTGTGTGCTCTGGATTGTTCAATCAAACGATATCATTGTTTTAGGATGTCTCTTTTCACAGCCCTTACCCCATGAACAAGATTCCCCCAGAGATCTGTGCCATTCCATCTGGATGACCTTCCAGATGTCTCTAAAAACCTGGATATTGTTGGCTCTGTTTTCGGTTCAAGGGGCTGAGTTAAGATGCAAAGGATTTTCTTTCAGTTGGTCCCTCTTGATTGTTCCTTATTTTTAATGTAAATCACTCAGAGTCAAGTTGGAATCAGACGTTCTAAATTAAAAAACAAACCGCAGTTTCTAAATTTAACGTATGCATGTGTCTGTTGTTTTTCTTCCAATAGCTTTATTGTACTTTTCTAATGTGAGAATGTTCAACCATGGAGAAATTCTGCAGGCGACTGACTTTTTCCCTTTTACACGGTGTGTAGAAGCACCCATTTTATTCTGTAATAGGAATTTCCTCCTTCTTTGTAAGAAGAAAGGATCACATGAGTACAAAGATTTCTTCACATCGAGTATTGATGGTCTAGGAACAAGTTCATTCCTCCAAAATAAAGTTATTGCTCCTGTTCCACGAGGAAATCAAAATTAGCTCCATGCTAGGACCGGAGCCAGAATGTGTCCTCGTTGAGAACAATGAGATTGTGCTAGAGATTTCCCTACACAACAATGTTAAAAATGGACCAGAGAGCTAAACAATAACCAAGCACTCTTTTGTAAATCCAGGACAATGGGAGAGATGTTGAACGTTGAAATCAACACAAAAAATACTGCTATCGTACACTGATTTGTTTCATTAATTATAAGAAAAATATAAGATTTTTATGTTTTATGGGGAGAGTCAAAAGTATTCCTTTGGGATCCAGAGATTCTTGGGTGGCTGATCATGAGATCCTCAACAGCAAAGTCCTTTGGTTTGGATAAGATTCCATAAATCATGGTTTTCAAACATTTCTCTCCTGATGTACTCAGCTTGCGCAGAGCAAGCTGTGCTCAAAATTGTACTAAATGAACTTATCATACTTCGTTTAGTGATGGTTCCAAGCTACAACATCACTGAAAAAAGTGACTTACAACAAAAAAAGGTCACACGTACAACCATTACAGCCTCTCTGAGGTCAACATTCAGATGGTTGGCAATATTTACGATGGTCGCAGTGTCCTGGGGTTGTGTGATCACGTTTTGCAACCTTCTGACAAGTAAAGTCAACAGGGAGCCCAGATTAACAACTTAACAACCATGTTACTAATTTAACAACTGTAGTGATTCACTTAACAACTGTGGCAAGAAAGGATATAAAATGGGGCAAAACTCGCTTAACTAATGTCTCATTTAGCAACAGAAATTTTGAGCTCAATTGTGGTCGTAAACCGAGGACTATCTATATTTGCCTAAAAATGAATGAACCAAGCCAACAAACCACCTTCTACAATATTTAAAAAACCCTTAGCAGAGGTTGGTTTCCTTGAGACATGGAAGCCTTAAAACGAATGGTGAAATTTAGGCAAAAGACTGGGGTCTTTGGTCGAGAGAATTTAGTTTCCGGACTTGCCAAACTGTAATTGTTGTGTGACCAGGAGTTGCCCTCTTATTTTCTTCTGTCAGAGAATGATGGCTACCATCATACCTGTTCAGCCTCCAGTGCCAGGCAAGGTGCTACCTAAACTCTTTTTTCAGACAAGCTACAGAATTCCTTTCCTGTTTCACTGAAGGGGTATCTAGCTGAGATCTACATGGATGTTAATATTTTGTATTGCGAGTATCATAACGCAGCTTATACACAATGGGTGTCATGGTTCTGACAGATGAAACTATTCAAAGAACTCGAAGCATTGTTTACCTTAAAGAATCTTTATTCGAGTAGCATAGTATCGGCACGTACATAGGCAAAGCCAAAATCTGAATTCCCTTCCCCTGAGTACATAGTATCAAAGCACAATTCCCTCCTCTAATTAATAGTCATAAATCACATTCTCCAATTAGTTTGAAATGTAGGCTTTCCCTCCTGTTCTCCAACCCGCCATTTCTTATCAACTCTTATTTCAAAAGTCCTAAATTCACACACTATTACAATATTGTTATATCTAACTAACTCCCATCACATTCCTCCTCCTCCCCCCCAGTATCATCTAATTCCAACTCTAATTCTAAGAGTAAAACATAAGAAGGAAAATGGCTGCATCTCCATATGTTGTCAAAGCAAGAACACCCGATGTTAGCAGCGTTGACATTAGCAATATGCTAATGCTCAACTTTGATTCCAAATACAGATATAGGATCTGGGTATGATGGCCGGTTATATAAATCACAAAATTCAGATTTCAGCTCGTGTTTGCTTCTCAAACTCTTTATTTTCTCTTCTTTTTCTTTCTCTTACAGTCTGACACCAACGCAAGCTACCTACGAGCAGCCCGAGCAGGCAACTTAGAAAAAGCTCTTGATTACTTAAAGAATGGAGTGGACATCAACATTTGTAATCAGGTTGTAGAAATATTTCGTCAACACATATTTTGTTTTACTAGCCCAGGGGTAGGCCACCTTGGCTCTTTTATGACTCGTGGACTTCAACTCCCAGAATTCCTGAGCCAGCCATGCTGAGGGAAGCGAGAGGTTTCCAAGCTGAGTCATGCTGGCTCAGGAATTCTGGGAGTTGAAGTCCACGAGTCATAAAAGAGCCGAGATTGCCTACTCCAGTACTAGCCTATATTTGTGTCTATGTCTTGAGAGCTCCTGTCCAAGAGTTCAGAACAACCTCCTCCAGGATAAGCTAGATGTTCTTCTTCCAAGGCTGGCTGGGGATTATGGGAATTGAAATCCAGCTCATTTAGAGGGCTTGGGGTTTGCTTAAGCAGTCAAAACAGCATATTTCATGGGCATGGGGCATAATTATTAGTGTTGCTACTACTACTGCTAATATGAATAATTCTGTGGTTACTGAACAAAAACTAAAATAGGTTTCTCCTAAAACAGTTGGGGAAAATATGTGGTGAGAAAGAACAGTGATATTCAGATATATTAAGGCTACAGTCCCATGGATCTAAACTAAGCCCCATATAAACTAAAGAAAAGAAGAAACAGGGGAGACATGATAGCGGTGTTCCAGTATTTGAGGGGCTGCCACAAGACAGAGGGGGGCAGGTTGTTCATCAAAACACTAGAGGGAAGGACAAGAAATAATGGTTGGAAACTGATCAAAGAGAGAAGCAACCTGGAATTAAGGAGAAACTTCCTGACAGTGAGGACAATCAACCAGTGGAACAGCTTGCCTCCAGAGATCGTGGGTGCTTCATCATTGGAGATTTTCAAGAGGAGACTGGACATTCATCTGTCTGAGACGGTATAGTTCTCCTGCTTGAGCAGGGGGCTGGACTAGAAGACCTCCAAGGTCCCTTCCAGCTTCTATTCTATTCTATTCCCCACTGAATCTCAATCTATCAGCTGGAAGAGACCTTGGAGATCTTCTAGTCCAAAGCCCTGCTCAAGCAGGACACCCTATACCATTTCAGACAGGTCTCTTCTTAAAAACCTCCAGTGATGGAATGCCCACGATTTCTGAAGGCAAGCTGTTCCACTGGTTAATTGTCTTCACTGTTAGGAAGTTTCTCTTGAATTCCAGGTTGCTGCTCCCTTTGGTCAGTTTCCAATCATTGTTTTGTGTCCTGCCCTCTGGTACTTTGGAAAATATGTTGTCCCCCTCTTCTTTGTGGCAGCCCCTCAAATACTGGAATACTGCTATCATGTCTCCCCTATTTCTTCTTTTTTTTAGACTAGCCAAACCCAAGTCCTGCAGCTGTTATTCATATGTTTTTTGTCTCCGGCTTTTAATCATCTTAGTTGCTCTTCTTAGCACTTTTTCCAAAGTCTCAACATCTTTTTTGTAACATGGTGACCAAAACTGGATGCAGTATTCCAGATGTGGTCTTACTAAAGATTTATAAGGTGGTACTAATACCTCCCGTGATTTTGATTCTATGCCTCTATTTATACAACCAAGGATTGTATTAGCTTTTTTGGCTACTGCCGCACACTGCTGGCTCATGTTTAAATGATCATCCACTAGCACTCCATGGTCCCTCTCACAGTTGCTGCTTTTGAGCCAGGTCTCCCCTAATCTGTACTTATATCTTTGATTTTTTTCCTGCCTAAATGTAAAACTTTGCTTTTCTCCACGTTAAAACTCATTTTGTTGGATAGGGCCCTTTGTTCAAGTCCGTCAAGATCTTTTTGGATCCTGAGCTTGTCTTCTGGGGTGTTGGCTATTCTTGCCAGCTTAGTGTCATCTGCAAATTTGATGAGTTCCCCTTTTTTCCCCCTCATCTAAGTTATTTATGAAGATATTGAAGAGTACTGGGGCTAAGACGGAGCCTCATGGTACCCCACTGCTTCCCTCCTTCCATGTAGATGTAGTACCATTAAGTACTATTTTAAGTACCTAGTAGGATTTACTTCTCTAGATTGTATTTGAAGCTTTTGCTGAGCCCTAGAACTTCTCCTCAACTTGCCCTCATTAGGCTGCTGCACTGTATTGTCTCCATCTTGCTTTAAAGTCAGCACTTTGCAACCTAATGTGTGCCTATTGATGTGTGTAATGTACACTGTGACTTGAAATCAACTCCTCTGCATTTTATGGGAGATACACTAATACCAAACATAGGATTCCATCTTTGCTTGACAGGAGAAATTGCTTGGTTTTGATACAAGAGTCATATTTGTACTGATTACAGGTGAATTGGGTGCTGAGACTTCTATACAGAAAAGTACTTTGTCCTTTGGTACTCTAGACATGGGGCACTCTCTTTAGCTAGGAAGGCTGAAGCCACTAGAGTGCAGTTTTAGGAAACAAAGGACTTCCATCTGAGGAAGTGCGCATGGGAGACCCATTTCAGTAGCACCTGTAAGGTGTAGCTCTCATTTGGAAATGAAATTGTCCCTAAGTTTGTGTGTCTGCAGGGGTGGGTGGAGGTTGCCCTGTGGCCTCCCTGGGCATGGTGCCCATTGGTGATGCTCCAAAATGTATAACTTCCAGAATTCTCTGCCAACATAGGAATGTTCTCTCTTCAATACATTTGATGGAGAGGTTGCTGAATAGCGTCCATGTTCAATATGCCATTCAAGTAAAACATAAGGATAACTGCCCTTCTATTAGGCTGATGATACATTGAATTGCAAAGGGAGTAAGTAATGAATTAGAAAGAGATAAGCCCTTCCTTTTTCCTTCCTTCCTTCCTTCCTTCCTTCCTTCCTTCCTTCCTTCCTTCCTTCCTTCCTTCTTTCCCTTCCCTTCCCTTCCCTTCCCTTTCCTTCCTTCCTTCCTTTCTTCCCTCCCTCCTTCCTTTTCACTTTCTCCCCTTCTCTCCCTCAACCTCTCATCATGCTGGAATGTGACCTTTAGGCCTCTTGAGTTTATCGCCTGTTGTTCTGAGTGCCCTGCATCAATCTCTCCCCTTCCCTTTTCTTGTTATCAGAACGGGCTGAACGCGCTCCATCTCGCCTCCAAAGAAGGCCATGTAGAAGTGGTGTCTGAGCTGATCCAGAGAGGCGCTAATGTGGACGCAGCAACCAAGGTCTGGAGCTGGTATCTGAACTTTGCATGGCTTTCCTACTGAGGCTCCATGCCTGCAAAGGGCAACTAAAGGAAGAAAAAGGCCTTAAGCCTTTAGCCAAGAGCAAAGGGGTGGTGGGAGGTGCAGAGGGAAGGGAAAATCCTTTGGGGAAGGTAGAGGTGCTGTTTCAGAGACCAGAACTAGGCAAAGGCTGGTCAGGAGATGAATCTGTCCCATTTCAGCTTAAGTCCACTTCCTATAACATCCGTGATTATGAAGAATCAGATCTGATAAAACACTACAGTTCTCTTAACGTGCTTTGCTGAAAAGCCACCGCCTACAAGACTCTGAGCCCAAAGGCAACATCCTGGTCAAGTGGTTTTGCATTCCAAAGACCTTGAATTGGACCACCTCTAGGCCTGGAAAGCCTTGGCCAGGGGTAGGCAGCCTTGGCTCTTTTATGACTGGTGGACTTCAACTCCCAGAATTCCTGAGCCAGCCATGCTGAGGGGAAAGGGAGAGGTTTCCAAGCTGAGCCATGCTGGCTCAGGAATTCTGGGAGTTGAAGTCCACCAGTCATAAAAGAGCCAAGGTTGCCTACTCGTGATCTAGGCCAGGGGTAGGCAACCTTGGCTCTTTTATGATTCGTGGACCTCAACTCCCAGAATTCCTGAGCCAGCCATGCTGAGGGGAAAGAGAGAGATTTCCAAGCTGAGCCATGCTGGCTCAGGAATTCTGGGAGTTGAAGTCCACGAGCCATAAAAGAGCCAAGGTTGCCTACCCCTGGGCTTGGCAATGGCAGCTGTGTCGGTGGCCAGTGCAAATGTGTTCAAGAGCAGCAATCCAATGTTTTTTTTTATTTTATTTTTATTCAAACACAAATAATACAACACATATAAATAATACAACACACATAAATCTAAAAAAAAACAATATTAAAAAAATACAAATACTACAGTGCACCCACACCCCTGGAGACCATTTTTAGTACCTATATTTCTTCTCATATAACAACTAACAACGTACAAGATTGCCCAGCACTTATTATCAGGAGGAAGGAAAGAGAATTTGGCCATGGGTTCCATCAAATGTCAGAGTCAGGACCCACCAAACCTCTAGTAGGGCAGTTTGAAACATTTTGCACACTCCTAAACAGTAAGAGCTTCCCTGCTGCTCGATTGTTCCTTAGAAACCGACTCTCTAGCACTCGGCTGCGTTTGTGCAGAGTCGCCATTTTCATTCTCCTTCAAGGTCTCCGAGAAAGGGCTGGCACGGTTCTTCTGCAGCAGTGATACACCTGCAGATTTGCGCCTGGGCCCAGCAGCTTCGGGGCTGGTGGAGGGCAGCCGGAGAGGCAGAGCTGATAGCCCTGCTAGAAGAGAAACGGGATGGGCGCAGTGCCTAGTGTCAATATCAGAATGAAAAATGGGGAATTAAATATATCTGCAAATGCAAAAATAAAACGAAAGGATAAGAACGTTGCATCTCAACTGCAACGCTAGCTTATGATCCAGCATAATATGAATAAATGGCAGAAGTCTCAGGTGCGCCAAACTGTTAAGACAAAGGAGTGCAGAAGTGTTCCTATCTAGTTTGAATTATCTACGGCTTGTCCCAGACAAAAGATTATAAACCTTGGCTGTGGCTAAAAGAAATACACCAGCTCCAATAAACTCCGGCTTTCTGATGACTTCTCACTTCTCTTCCCCCGAGCCCTGACATCCTTGTGCAAAAGAGGTCACTTCTGTTGCGCAAGTGCCTGTGTCGTTTCATTGTAGTGTCCTGCCATGCTGCAGATGCTGCCATTTGGCCACCAAGGATGCCCCCAGGATGCATATGTTGGGCCCTTTTCAAATCCCCATTTGTGGTGATTCCTACAGCTAAGAGTTCGTATTCTGAGAATTCACCGCATAGGAACACAAGTTGCTCAAATTGTCTAGTGGATTCTCCTTCACGGTGTGTTCTCCTCCTGAAGCACAGTGAACTATTGGCGCAGAGGAGCCTAAATCTCCAGTGGGTCTTATCAGGAAGCTTTCCAGTTATGCGCAGAATCCCTGTGTGGGTCATCTGGGGACCGCTGAGCTGTAAACAGGCTCATTGGTGTCTTCCTGCTGCCCCTGTGGTTGGAGAGCCTGGCACATTTTTCACATGCCTTTCGCATCTCCCCTTACAGAAAGGAAATACAGCTTTGCACATTGCATCCTTGGCTGGGCAGACCGAGGTGGTGAAGGTGCTGGTTACGAATGGTGCCAACGTCAATGCACAGTCACAGGTAAAGCCATATTCACCGGAACCCTGATCTGCTCATGGGGGGGGGGACTTTACCCCTTCTTGCTTCTTACCAAAGTCCTTTAACCTCTTGGCTTCCCTGGACTTAACAATTAAAAAGGATATTTGTCAGATAGAGAAGCATTGGAAAACACGTTTCCGAAATTGGCTCAGTCCTCGGTGTGAACTTGGCACCGGTCACCTGCTTCAGCCTTCTACAATCCTATGCCTTCAAGATTTGCGGGATTGTGAAAAAAATTCAATTTTTTCTCCTGTTTTTTCCCCTCCTAGAATGGCTTCACGCCGCTGTACATGGCAGCCCAAGAAAGCCACTTGGAAGTGGTTAAGTTTCTTCTTGATAATGGAGCTAGTCAGAGCCTCGCCACTGAGGTAAATGTTCATATATATATATAATCTTTGCCAAAATATTAAATGCATTGTAGGATCATGTTATATAAAGTAAATGAAGAAGACTAGAGGTGAGAATTTGCCTTGTAAGTAGCATTACAAAAGATCCATAGGCAGCTGGTACCCAGACAATCTAACTTCATTTTATTGCACATGGTTTTTTTAGTATTCAACAACCTTCAACCGAACTTTGGTTGATCTCAAAGAGCATAAACAGAGCCAGACCCCGGAATTCCATGGGTCGGAGATCATCCCAAAACCTAAGCCTTCTAGACCAGCCTGGAAAGTTCATAAAAATCCAGGCCAAAGGATTTTAATTGTAACTGTATTGAGTCATTTCAGTCAGTGTTGTTGATGTTGCTAGGCAAAGTGTTTTTCCATCCATAGCTACTGATTGTAAACAGGACCAGGTGGACAACTTCTTGATGTTTCAGAGTGTAAATTAAATACCTAGAGACCCAAACTGCAGTTCTGATGAACGCTTATTTTCCTGAGTCCATGCGTTAACATGCAAAACGTAACATGGTCTGTTTGGTGGCTTGGTAAACAAGTTAAAAGGAATCCAGCCCTTGTGACAGGGAGGAAGGTCCCACACTCCCAAACTTCCAAATACCCACATTTTTTTTCCAGGAATTCAGGAAATTGAAAACCTCACCCAACGGAGGGCCTGAGGTGGGAAGGATGCTCTGCGCCAGGCTTGTGGCCACTTTCTCCAGCATGAGCAACTTCCACTTTTTATGCAGTGAACATTTGCTGAAGTTGATCCACTCTGTTCAGGATCAATTGAGGAGATGATTATGCACATGGTCGTTCATCACATTGATTGAATTCAGTTTGTGCGAATTCAAGTAGAAGTTCTGCCCTGTTCTTCGGACAACGTTTTTTGGAGCAGAGCTCCTCACCTGCCACCTGTAGACAGGTGGCTACTGGCCAGGAAATCTCAGGTGCTGCAGATGCATCGAGAGAGGTTACTAGAAACCAAACAACAGTTCACAAATCTGCACATCCCATATCACAATTCACTTTCCGTCCAGATGATTGGCAACCCCCATGACATTATTGTCTTGGCCATCCACTTAATACCCTAACCTTGAAGTTCCACTTTTGCTGAAATGTTTCATGCCTTCAACTATGGCTGTAGTTCATTTATCCGATAACTTCTTTTACATTTACAAAACAGTTATTGGTGATTGTAAAATCCCTTCAACTTTGTGAAGTAGGCATTATTGTGTAGTGGGCTTCAGTAGGCAAGGAGCAGACCAGCATAGTTACAACGTTATTTATCGACTCAAACTAGACCTGGAGAACTGCTAGCAATTGCCTGTATTTTATACTCTGAGCCCACAGGGCCTTAACCAATCACAATACTTGAAAAAGCCCGCCCAAATATGAATGTTCAAAGTTTCCCTCCAAAACAGTTGGAGGTAACAGTCAGGGTCATCTAAAGGTTAGTTTCATTTTAGCTTCACAAGCAGTTGGAGTTAAGTTAGTTTCACTTTAGCAGGGATTGACACAACTTTATATATATTCAATACATAACAGGCACCATAACCCTTTTTTGCAGGGAAGTATTAAATAATTGCAATGAGAACCATGTGTGTAGTTGTCTTCAGGCAAGTCATTTCCAGATTTTTCTCTTCTTTTTATGGAAACACTGACAAAACAGATGTTGCAAAAAAATCTGTGGCTCTTGTTCACTCAGCCAACAGATGGCGCTGTTTTTCAAAAAAAGCATGTTTTTACCTGTCACAGGTGTGACATCTATATAATAGGTATATATAAACACGCGCGTATTCGAATGCAACGTTGTGTCAAACTTTCAAAGCAATCGGTGAAGAACTTTCGGAGATTTAAGATTTTGAACAAACGAACATTTACATTTTTATTTATATAGAAAGATATATTTCAAAACGTGCTTCTTTGCTGGCACTTTTTTAAAAAAAATGCAGTGATCATCTATGACTGATGTTGTAACGTCTGCTGATGGCTGCGCCTTGTTCCTTTGGCAGGATGGCTTCACCCCGTTGGCTGTGGCTCTCCAGCAGGGTCACGACCAGGTGGTCTCCTTGTTGCTCGAAAATGACACCAAGGGCAAAGTCCGGCTCCCTGCACTCCACATCGCTGCGCGCAAGGATGACACCAAGGCGGCTGCTTTGCTACTGCAGAACGACCACAATGCCGATGTGGAGTCCAAGGTTAGTTATGCAACGTTTGTTTTTCTTCCGAAGACATTGATGGATGTGTGCCCTTCTTCCTCTGCTGCTCCTTGACAGGAGTTTTGATTATGTGAGACTGACTCTGTCCTGTGCCACGGCTTAATAAAACCACTTTTTCAAACGGAATTTAACGTCGAGCTTAAAGGCACAAAGCCACTTCAGTCGAGCAATTTATAGTTTGACTCCACCAGTTATTGCAAATGTAGAAACAGCAGCACCAGGAGGTCCCTGGAGATTCTCAATCGTCCAGGTCAGGGTTGTCTCAAAGGTGTTTTTTTCCATGAGAAGAAAAGTGTTTTCAAGTCCAGTTGCCTTTTAGAAAAGCACCTTTGGGACAGCAGCATCAGGATGCTTGTTAAGTTGGCTGCTGCTCCGGAACTAATAATAATAATAATAATAATAATAATAATAATAATAATAATAATAATAATAATAATAATAATAATAATAATAATAATAATAATAATAATAGTAATAAAGTTGGAAGGGACCTTGGAGGTCATTTAGTCCAACCCCCTGCTCAGGCAGGAAACCCTATACCATTTCAGACAAATGGCTGTCCAGTCTCTTCTTGAAAACCTCCAGTGTTGGAGCATTCACTGCTTCTGGAGGCAGGTTGTTCCACTGGTTAATTGTTCTAACGGTCAGGAAGTTTCTCCTTAGTTCTAGGTTGCTTCTCTCCTTGCTTAGTTTCCATCCGTTGCTTCTTGTCCTGCCTTCAGGCACTTTGGAGAAGAGCTTGACTCCCTCTTCTTTGGGGCAGCCCCTGAGGTATTGGAAGACTGCTATCATGTCCCCCCTCGTCCTTCTCTTCATTAAACTAGACATACCCAATTCCAGCAGCCATTCCTTATATGCTTTAGCCTCCAGTGGACTTGTTAGTGTTTGATTGATAAGACTCTGCTCTGTAACTCAAAATCGATGAAGGAAAGGTGCAACTGGTGGTGAGAGGTCCTTCTCTATTTGAAGCATTTGAGGTTCCCCCAAGGCGGCTATTGCAGTCTTGAGATTACTTTGCTGCAGAAGAGGAAAAGAGTCATTCCAGGGCTAGCTGTGTGACCCCATAGCCCAGGGGTAGGCAACCTTGGCTCTTTTATGACTGGTGGACTTCAACTCCCAGAATTCCTGAGCCAGCCATGCTGAGGGGAAAGGGAGAGGTTTCCATGCTGAGCCATGCTGGCTCAGGAATTCTGGGAGTTGAAGTCCACCAGTCATAAAGCGGCCTAGGCGTAGGCCAGGGGTGGGGAACCTTGGCTCTTTCATGACTCCTGGACTTCAACTCCCAGAATTCCTGAGCCAGCATGGCTCAGCATGGAAACCTCTGCATTTCTCCTCAGCATGGCTGGCTCAGGAATTCTGGGAGTTGAAGTCCACGAGTCATAAAAGAGCCAAGGTTGCCTACCCCTGCCATAGCCCATGAACCAAGGACTGGAGCCATGCATTGGGTGACTCTTGTTTAATTTTGAAGGGTTAGGTCAATTGATAGGGCAAAATAGGGGCCTTTAAGATGCCTGAGAAACCCTTGAAGTGCCTGATGTTCCTTCCCAAAATGGTTCTGGCCTGACTCACCTTAGATGTGGCCGTTGACATACTGAGCGAAGCCTGGCACAGCTTCCAGTGCCGGGAAAGTGACTCTCCTTTCTTCTTGTCGTACGAGAAACTGACAGGAGTCAAAATCAAGACGTCTAGAATGGAAGGCTGCCATGGAACAGAGTGAGAGAGAGAGAGTGAGAGGGCGAGAGAGAGAGAAAGAGAGAGGGGTTTTTTTATTTCCCCCCAAGGAGTAATTTACTTCCACGTTTAAACCATTTGTGTTTCTGCCGGTCAGCCCTGCTTCCTTTCTGTGCTTGTTTGTGATTTTATTTTAGCCTCATCCGGCCTTCGCAAAGCTTTCTGCCCCATTATGGCTGTTGGAGAACTAACCATTCATTTTCCCCCCCTTTCCTTTGCTTCCCAATGTGTTAACCTAGATGATGGTGAATAGAACAACCGAGGTATATCTCTCTATCTATATAAAGTCTTCTCTGTGTCTCAACTACGGGTTCTCTCTGTGCATCATCGCTCTTCTCCTACCACTCAGAGCTGCTGCTTCTTCTTCTCTTCCTTCTCTTCTCTTCTCTGCACTGCCTTTTAGAGGAGTAGAGAGCGGCTTCCGCCTGAACTGAAGGGTGGCATGTGCTGATGGGGATGGTGGTGGTGGTGGTGGTGGGGTGATGGGGAATGTAGTGGAGGGCAGGGTTTTCTGCAGCTGAGTCCCACGCTTAAAAAAATGCCCCTTAAGAGAGCTTCAGTGGAAATCATGGTCTCCCCCCCCCGCCCCAGAGGCAGAAGATGGGGTCTGACCGGGTCTCCATTGCTGGGTCGAGGTTTTTTACATGCTCCGTGCAAAGCTGCAGACATCTCTGTCCACTTCTGCACCGGGGACTGGCTCCTGCATGACACTCCGTTGTCGGCATCCACCAGAAGGGACGGATTCTTTCCAGGGACTCGGAAAAGCCCGAGACGGAGGCAGAGGGAGCATGGCTAACTAGGCTTGCAGACCATTTCAGAAGCAGAGGGGTTCCCGACGAAATTTTCACTCGTGGTGGTGGGAACGGACGGAATGGCTGCATGTTTTAGCATTTGTCAAAACAGCGGAACTCCTTTTAAACAAAACAAAACAAAACAATCACTCAAGTATCGGAGCGACTCGCTGAACCTCTTCGTTTGGATGGATACTTTCTAATTAAATTGTAAGATTCATCCAGCCTGTTTGCTCACATGGGAGACTTCATCTTATATAGAATAATTTTTTTTAAAACCCCACCTCTTTTTAATTTCTTTTAAAATAGACTCTGGTGTTGCTTCAATTAGCACCTGTCTTCGATTTTTTGAATAGTAAAAATAGCCAGGCATTACTTTAGAGGTCTTCTTTCTAAACTTCAGCAGGGAAAACTTTAAAATGTTTAACTGGCGAGAATGCGGAAATTATTCATCCCAAATAGATGTTTCCAAAAAGACATTGACAAACTAAATGGCAGACATCATTTGCCTTGCATTAGCAGCAGGTTTTTTTGGCAGTTTCTTTTTGAAACAGCCAAATACTTTTTCCTTCTCTCTCTCCCAAAATATGAGTAACATATTTACTTTGGAGCTCTCCCCATCCTCAGACGTGCCAGTAAGCAAAACAGTGGCGAAAATTAGAACGACCGCCCCATTTGGGGAACATGCATTATAGGAGCTCCTGGAAGACATTTGTACAAATAACAATAATTGATCTTTTGCTGTGTATGTTGTGGTTGTTTTTCTTTATCTTTCAGAGTGGCTTTACTCCTCTACACATAGCTGCTCACTACGGGAACATCAATGTAGCTACACTGCTGTTAAACCGTGGGGCGGCCGTGGACTTTACTGCCAGGGTATGTCACAATCTGTAAAATAAAATCATCATGTATTCTGTTTAGGGCTACTCCCATGACCCAGAACCTTCTAAGCCTTTGGACTACAACCCCCATCATCTCTTTTCAGTAGAAATCCTAAGCAGAGAAGCTTCAGGGCCTTTTTTAGGGCAGAGGCTGGGGGCTGATTTGCTAAGAAGATTGGGAGTTTGCATCCTGTAACACGTAGGAACATTTCCGAGAAAGGTGAAGAAGGATTTTTTTCAAATCTGGAGATTCGATTTCAAATCTTTGCTCCAATCATCTTTTGATTGCTTGGTGGAGTTGATTAAGAAAGAAAAGGAAGCAGGCTCCCTTTGGTCTGGCTCTTGGGGACCCCCTTGGGAACAATCATGGGGGTCTCTTGCCAACCATTCAGAAGTCACTCATCCTGATATGGGTGGAAGAAGAAGTGAAGGTTTCTTCTGCGGAATTAATGGTTCGATTTGGATGGCAGCTGAGCTTTTGGTGTATTTTTCTTCCCCTTTAATGATGAGTCTTTTGGGGTTCATATCAAGGACAACTTCACTGAAATGAGTCAGCACAAGAAGAGCACTTCAGATAACAACAACAACAACAACAACAACAACAACAACAACAATAATAATAATAATAATAATAATAATAATAATAATAATAATAATAATAATAATAAAGTTGGAAGGGACATTGGACATTGCTGAAAGAGGCCCTACTATTATATTGGTTTAAGAGGCAGAGATGTCCTCAAGTCCAGCTTAACCTCTGGCAACTGCATCGATTGATGCTTTCTTGGTGGTGTGATAGATGAACTTTGCCTTCCAGGAAGTTTTTTGCAGCTTCCCAAGATATATTACATATTTTTTTTTAAAAAAAGAAAAATATAGCATGATGACCTGAATCACCAAGAGAGCTTTCTGGCTGAGCCCCTATGGCAATGGTGCCAGCTCAGCACTCGGGGCAGTGCCAAGGCCACAGTGAAAATAATCAATAGCCATCTGGTATTGGGCCCAGGGGTTTCTCATACCCTGGAAGAACTGCCCCTGAGATTTACATGGGGCTCTCTACATGGGGCTCCCCTTGAGGTGCACCTGGAGGCTCCAGCTAGTTCAGAATGTGGCCGCGCGGGGGATTTTGGGGGCCTCTAGATACTCCCATGTAACACCTCTCCTGCGTGAGCTGCACTGGCTGCCTGTGGCCTTCCGGGTGCGCTTCAAGGTGTTAGTAACAACCTTTAAAGCGCTCCATGGCAATGGACCTAGGTATTTGCAAGACCGCCTCCTACCAAACACCTCCCTTCGACCAGTCCGCTCCCACAGAGAGGG